CATCAAATGAACTGCTAAGGATTCAATAGCTTCAAATGGGAAAACCCACCAAGGATCTCTGTGAAAAAATTGTAATTAAATTATTTGCTATAATAAATTTTTTATTCCTTTATTACTCTATGTATGAATATCCCATTAACCTAGCAGCATGAGAAAAGAATGCTATTACTATAATATTTACATGGCCAATTTTTTTTGAAATTTTTTCTGCTCCATATAAAAACGGTACACTACTTATTGTTGCCACTGATACTGTAATACCTTCAAACAATATTAAAAATAATTTAATTAATATTTTCTTTTAGCTTTTACTATTTTTACCAATACTTGCCTAGCAAATAATTTGATGCACCTAATTCTTTAAGGTATAAAAATAAATAAGACTCAATAAAACCCCAACAATTTCCAAGAACAAACAAAAAAAATAAAAAAGCTATTACATGGGGTAACTTTAATAATCTTATCATATCTTTTAAAATATGATCAGCTGGCATTTTGATACCAACTGGCATCATTAAGAGAGTTATCATCGAAAATAGAAGTAATATATCATAAGTGTAAAATGCTGAAGAATAGTCCGTGTAACCTATAAAAAAATGTGAAGTTATTTTTATTTACTATGATCTTTATTTAACATGATTTGATTAATAATCAAACATTATCATATAAAGTTTAATTAATATTATAAATACCTTTTTTTGCACTCATTTTATCTATTAACCACCCAGTTAATGGAGAAAATAATGCCATACCAGCTGTAGAAAATAATCTTTCCCTTCCAAATTGTCCACCGTATCTTTGTATAAGATTTAAAGCTATTGGATCCATAACTGTTACTGATGCTGATAACATAGTAGTACCTATAAATCGTAACCCAAAATATATCCAAAATACTTTTTCATTTGATGGTTTGTATTCAGGGGGACAACGTTCAGGACCTCCAGTTCTATAAAATAAAATAAATACCATTAGATACCAATCAAAGTGTATAAATAAATACTTATAATTTTTTTTTTTTTATTACGTTTTTATTAGCCCATTAAAGGCCATAGCGGCCTCCCCCAAAGGAGGTTTCTTAACCATTTATACTACGGGACGGGTGGTTAGTCCGTCGCCATATAATAATATTTTATTATTTCATTTCATTCAAAATTTATTCTAAAGATCAAAGGAAACAATTTATATATGTTAAAATATTTTTAAACATAAAAGTTCAAAACTACATTGAATTTGATAAAGTTACCTAAATATACATTTTTGAAGCATACAATCAGCTGCCAATTCTTTAAGTTTGTTGTAAGTCAAATTTGTTGCTAATACTCTTCCTCCACAACGCAAATCATGATCAAGAAGTGCAGTAAAATTAACTCCTGATGAAATTAACATATCTGATGAAAAATGTTGACGAAAATCAGTGACTTGTTCATCCTGATCTGGTTCAGGCAACTCCATTCCTTTATAATATAATATATATAAATATTATAAAAATAATAATACCTAATCAGAGTAATATAACTTGATGACTTTTTATTTGTTAATTATAATCAAGAAAGGTTGCTAATTTTATTAGTGAAATAGGAATAAATGTTTGTAACTCTTAATTATCCAACTATGCATTGGTCCAATGGTTCTGACTCAGAGCTGCCACTCTGATTCCTAAATTCTACCCTATAAATAGTAATATAAACATATCTAAGTAATATCTTACCTAATGTTTCTGTTGGATCCATTAGACCTGGGTGCATATCTAAAACTACAAACACAGTAGCTTCTTTTTTAGTAGATGTCACATTGACATTATTAAGTCCAGCTCCTATATTTGCTATTTCATTTACTGTTTCATTACCATTGAGCAGAACTCCCATTCTTACTTTTTTCTTGGTATCAGATTTTTTTGTTCTGCGCAAATTCAACGTTATAAATGTAAATTATTTGAAAGTTTTTAAATAAATAATAGTGTATAAATTATATTTTCTCACGATGATTTTGTCAAATTTCTAGCTTGCTTTGTTTTCTCATAAATGAAAAATAAGTCTTTTTCATCAACTCCTTGGTTATGACTCGAACCTGGATGATTTGAAGATGGCATTATGCAATTTGGCAATGATTGCTTAAAAAAGATAGAATTATTAATCAAATAAAAATATACAAATTTAAACATTAATATGATGTACCAATGCTACAAATTATTTAATTCATAGATTTATTTTACTTGTAAATTTTATAACAATATTTTTGTTTGTATACTTGGGGTGGAGATCCGGCTATAAATGTCGGTGGCCTAACAGCTATACTTTGTTCGATCTTAGGTACTAAATCATTTTCTTCGCGTGGTATACTGTAGTCTCTCATTAAACAGTGGTCATCACATTCGTCTAATACCAAATTAATTTCCTCATCCTCTGGACACTCACGACTAGGACATGGGCTCCACCAAACCTTTAAAAGGTTATTTATTAAAAGTTTTTTTAATTTTTAAAAATATTCAGCTTTTATTAAATATTGTTGAAATTTTGTTTTTTTTAGTTCCAAAATGACGGTTTTATTCAAACCCTATATATTTATATATTCTATCTACAAAATTATACCTTATATTATATTTTATAATATTGTTAAAATTTCCATAGTCAATCTTAGAATTTATAATAAATTTTCTTAAATTCTATTTTTTTTACATAAAAATAAAAAATGTTCACTTACATCGACTTTACCAGATTCAGGATGTCTCATAACATATGCTGATGGTATTGCTCCAGGTGTTTCTGTTTGAGGTATTAATATTAGAGAATGATGAAAAATTGCATTTAAAGCTAAAGATATGAACAAAACTGGCTTATATTGACCAAATTTGTCGACTAGGAATCCTAAGACAGTTATTTTTTTATTTTTCACAAATTCGGTTTTTTATTGATTAATTATATGAATTAATACTAAAATGGACATTAATAATGATCTGTATTATAAATATTTAACATTAGTACCTGATACAGGCGGAGCTAAAAAAGTCGTTAGAGGTAGTGCTAGGTATACAATAGCTATTTCTTCTACAGATAAACCGATGCTCTGCATATGAATAGTCAAGTATGGTAATAATGATGAAGTAGCTATTTTAAAATAAGGTAAAACAGTATATGTGTAAATATGAAGTATTTTCAACTTTAACTACATTACTCACCTCCATACATCAAAAAGAGAGTCACTTTTAACATAATTAAATTATAATTAATATTGAATTTTTTACACAATCTCTGAATGGATCCATCTTCTTCGACTTTTGTTTTTTCTTTTGACATTTTTAATTATTATTTTTGACCAGCACGCACGATTATGTCCGACTACTAGACGTCAAAAGTCGTATGAAATGTTTTGACTAGTGGGTGTTTTAAAGAGGAGGAAAACTGTTGGGACCTTGTTTGAAGGAACTTATCTTTTACCTAATGTTATTGCACGTAATTACGTGTATACTATTGTTTTCAATGTTTGTTTTTACACAAACTGTACGCGATATCATAATATACTGCAGTTCATAATTGAGATTACAAAAATAAAGTCTAATAAATGAGCCGTTTATTATCATACAAGCGTTTATAATATTAAATATTGTGTTTATTAAAACAACTATTATGGGTCATAATTAAATAAATCAACTAAGTTTTACAAAAACAACATGTATAAAAATATATACACTTAAAAAAATCTCGTCAAGCACCGTTCTTNGTATATACACTTAAAAAAAATCTCGTCAAGCACCGTTCTTAATTTTATTGACCAGTCCGTTCAATGAATACTTGCTGTTGGGATTACTTAAAGCAACGAACTGTTGAGCTACTTCTTCAGCAACCTGAAATAACATATATTATAAACAAATGTTTTAATTTTCGCTAGTGCTATTTGAAAGGTAGCAAATTATTAGAAAGTAATACTATCAGTAGGCTAAGGTAATGTTTCGCTTATTTTCTTTAAATATCACCTGAATAAATTTACCAAAACAATGACGGTACAAACGTACTCATTTACATGAGATTGTTAAAATTGCTTAATAAATCACAAAATGTGAATTATAAAATTGATTTTTTTTGACATGACTTAAGTTTTCCTCAATATATATTGCTTATAGACGGATTATGACTAAAAATCAGTCTCCAATGAATGTCAATTATATAATAATATTTATATAAATAGTGACTGGAAGGGAGGAATGAAGTGAATCCTGTAACAATTTTCAAATTATTTCAAACAAAAATGTTTTATAATCAACCAGAAAATGTTAAAAAAAAAACGAGGCTATCGCCAAACTATCCACTTCCCGTTAGCAGTGCTAAAGTTTGCACATTTAAAAAGACTTTTCTTAATTTTTTAAAAATTTATTCATTAATATAAATTCTTAATCTGAAATAAAAAAAATCTCGATTTTTAAACTTTTTGACATTGCAAAGATTCAATTAATTCAGTTGTTGATAAAAATGACACCAATCTCAGAATAAATCAAGATTATCTGTTGGCTATTCATACTTTGTAAAATTATCAATAGAGTCAATAAATTAACTAAGTAAAGTAAAATAAAGGCGCTAGATTTATTAACGAATGGAAATAAGACTCTTTAATACTATCTCTGTTTAATGATAATAAAAAACGCGGCCTATTTCATACACACTATGGTTAAATAAAAATGAATTGTCCTTTGCTCTCTGACCTTAAACGACAATTATACATTTAAAATGACTCATAACAGAGTAATGCTTTGTACATAATTTAAAAACTGTGACTACATGACAGTATTATTTAAATACCCTCTAGCCATAGAGTTACTTCAATTTTTCGAGGAAGGAGTTTTTGTATTCTGAAAGATAAAAAAACTTCTCGCTTTGCTCATAATCGCTTAAATCTTCTAAGTTATTATTTTTGTTTGACGAAATTCATCCATATTATATCAATAAAAGGTTAAATAAAACATTTTAGAAAACTGAAAAAATCCGTATAATTACGCTAGGCGTGGGTTTAGAAGAGGACTTAAGAGGTCCGCAAGCCACATCTAAGTTGATGACCTTTTTTCCTCAATAATACATAAAAATGGCAACTAAGATAACAATCAAAATGGAAAACTTTTTTTGTTTTGTTTAATAGTGACACAAGTTGGGGATCTTCACATTCTTTAGACCGAATCTAAATTATGCCGTCTATTTTTACACTAGGTTTGATCTGGTTAACCAAAATTAATCATTTAAGAAAATGATTATACCCAATATATTTTTCAAAGTACAGCTAGGCTCTTCTAGCCATTATGATAATTTCGTTCCCAAAAAATTATGACTATTTTTTTTAAAACTTTACTCAGGACAACATTACTTTTGACCCCAGCTAAATTAGGCAGCTGCCTTGATCTTAACATTTTAAGGTCATTTTGGTAAATTTATTAATTTTTCTTTCCTAACAGATACATTAACATATTTTAATTATTATAATACGAAAAAGAAAAAATGAGCAATAGAAACAGAGTCCGGACAATCCCCATTAACAAAATTATGGAAGTTGAGGAAAATGAAAAAATGAAACTTCCCACTACATTACATACTAAAAGTAATTGAGACCTTTCCCGTGATAAATTTCTAAATACGCCACTAAAGAACGATCTTGAGACTATGCATGGTTATAGAATTACTTTATATTTATTTGATCTGACAAACAAATGTATAAAAAAAATATATTTACTTTTATTTGGGCTTCTAATGTAGAAGCACCTAAATGAGGAGTAGCAATAACTTTAGGATGTGCTATTAGGCTTTTGAGTTCAGCGCTCTTAGGCGGTTCCTCTGTTAATACATCTAACCCTGCGCCGTCGCACTGTCCATTCTAAAATTATACAACGTATTTAGAAAAATTAGTATAAGATTTATAATCTAAATCTTACATTTAATGCTCTATACAGTGCTGCTTCATCAACAATTCCTCCTCTGGCAACATTTATAATCTTTACTCCTCTTTTACATTTGATAAATACATCGTCGTTTAGTAGATCTGAAAAAAAATTAATAGCATTTACACTTTTTAACAAGTTATCTNTAGATCTGAAAAAAAAATTAATAGCATTTACACTTTTTAACAAGTTAACTATTATCAAGTCTGTATTTGAGGGCGTAGAGTTAAGTATTTACTAAATTTATTGTAATCACCAAAACTTATTTTTCAAAACGGTAGTTAAGGTCTTGCGATTATTAACATAATAATATAGAAAAAGTAAAGAATGTTTGCCTTGGGGTGTAGAATGTTTGAATACAGACCTGTATATTGTTGATTATTATAAAAATATACTTTTAGTTTGTGGTATTAATGGTGTATGCACTGTGATATAATCGGAAATTGGCCAAATTTCTTCTAGGCTAAGCAATTCCACCCCAAACCCTGCAGCAGATTCTTTGGTTATAATAGGATCGTAGCCAATAACCTAAAATATTATATTAATATATGTTACAAACAAAAGAAAATTAGTCAGTAAATAGTTACATAAATAAAAGTTGTATGAATTAGCATAGCTGAAAACTAAATTAACATATGATTATTAGATAACTAAAGGGCTTCGCTTTTGTAAACACAACAAACATTATCATATTTTATTGTAATAGAACTTCAAGAGTTTTAATATGTTATAAATACTTAAATAACTAATGCATATCGATTAAAATTGTAAAAATTAAATAAATATTAGTTTGTTAAAAATTAATTTACCTTCATTCCAAAAGCCTGCATCCTATAAGCTACTTCGCGACCAATTCTTCCTAATCCTAAAATTGCTAGAGTTTTGTTTTTAAGTTCAGTTCCCATGTATAACTTTCTGTCCCATCTACCTTCTTTTAAAGACTGACAGCCTTGAGGAACATGCCTTAAATAATCAAGACAATTATAAAAATTATTTTTCATTCAAAAAATGTTTCATAGTAAAAAATTATTAAGATATTTTAACATTTTTACTTGAAATCAGTAGTGTACTCAGAGAAAGGTATATTAAAATTAATACTTAAACTTATGAGTTGTTAAAGCTTGAATAATTACTAAGTTAAAACAATTTTTTTTTAATTTGTCTAGGATCAATAACACTTTAAGTTTTTATATGTACCACCGAGACCTTTTACTTTACACCTATCAACGCCTTTTATTTTATTAGGCAACTAAAAAAATTTTTTCCCTAATTAAACTTTGGTGTTCAAAACAAAAAATTGTTTTACGAATTATATATAGTAAAATAACAACTAAATTTGAGTTGGGTAAGATTTAAGATTTGTTTCTGACTTCGAATGCCTCAATATTAATTAATCATTTATTTTAGTTTATGATTCATTTATTATGTATATCATTATTAATAAGCTATAATACACATTGTTATAGCTATAAATCACATTGTTCGTGCAAAATATTAACTTTTTGGCAATAGAAATAGAAGTCACTAACCTTTGCTTCTTTAATCGGAGTCAATAAAGAAATTGAGATTATATAAAGAAACATATAACAATAAAAAAATCCTATATACACTTCCAAATTTAATTAAAATACTTTTTTTTAAAACTTTCAACAAAAATTCGTGTGGGTACTTTAACATCAAAGTACATTTAATTTTTTTTAATTAAATGGTTGATATACTTATAAAATTTTATTTTTAAACTGATTTCGCAATATTTTAAGTATTGAATTCAGATAACATTTATAAGTATCAAATTGATTTGCTCTACTCGATGATTTTTTTATACTTTGATTATTGAAACTTAAAATTATAGAGTTTATACAAAAATAATGGAATTACCTGGCCAATGACATGATAAACGTACATGTTAATTCGCACGCACTGTTTGAATTACCACCGGGAGTACTGAAATATATAAAATAAAGTAAATATTCATAAAAAAAATTATTTGTTTCAATAAATACAATAAAATTACCTAGTAATTTCTACATGTCATTAATACAAGACTTTCTCTAAAAATAAAAAATTATAACTAATAAAAAGAGACAAAATCTTTGATAAAGATTGTTTTCTGGATCCGCGTTTAAATGCACAGTATTTGTTTTATTTTTTTATTTATATTATACAATCTGTTACAAATTAGAACAACAAGAATGTCAAGATTATGATTGGTATGAAAAACATAGTTAACCAAAGACATAGCTTCTAGTTATAAAAAAAAAAACACTGTTTCTTTTATTTTATTATTAAATTCTTTTATTAATTAAGGAATATATCTGCTTTAATTTCGTTTAGATTGTCTGCGTGGATTGCCAGAAACGTATATTTTGTATAAGTTAACTATTAGTGGGATTGTAATTTTTTGTAAAAGCGTTAATAGTTTTGTTTAGATTTATTAGTTATTTTTAAAAATTTTAAATCACAGTAGATAGTTTCGGAACAAATTCAGTTTAGCTACTACACAATTTTTTTCATTTTTTTAATCGATTTGTTTTATTTTCACTGATTACGAATATTCAAAAATAAAATGTTATTCAAGTATAGTTGGAAAGTCATAGTACTTTTAAGTTAGCATATAACTCTGTTATTAGACTTCGAGCACTCCATTAATAACCTTGCGAATGTAGTTTTTGTTAACGGTTTATAAAGCAAAAAAACTCTTTTTGAGAGTATATATAAATAAGATTGTAAATTGGGAAACCTATACTCCTTCATTTTTGTCTTCAAGATCAATTTTTCGATATTTTTCTTAATAATATGCAATTTGCAAACAAATATTATTAGTTTGAACAAAATTTTGGGGTCATATATGCTTTCCATTTCCGGTGACTGATTCAATCCTTTACGGGACTCCTATGGGATGGGGGCTCACGCATATTAGAATAAAATGTAAAATAAAATGCGCCAAAACTCAAACTATTATATTTTAAAAATAGATATCGCTATGGTAAAATTATATTATAAGTATACTGTAAATTCAGTATCTATATAATTTTTCTTATAAAAGTTGTTACTTAGTTTTAAGTTGTTAGTTAATATAATTATAAAAGATTTTACTATTATATAACTCAAGTATTCAACATGTACAAGTCATAAAAATGAAAAATCCGTATTTTCATTAGCTACCGATTAGTATATTATATTATATTATACATTATACATTATCATTATCGTATATTATACATGTATTTTAACTCAAAAATTCAAAATTTTACAGTTTTATGTTTAGTAAACAAATGAACTTAATATATTATAAATTAAAATGCAATTTATTATTTAAAAAAATAACCTCAAATATTTTAATAAATGCAAAATATGTTATCATTTGAAAAAAACATAGTTGAAACCCTTTTAAGGATTAAGGGATAAACTTAAAAAATCTTACATAATTAACTAATAATTCAAAAATAAATATTTAACTAAAAGTAACCAAAAAGAAAAAGAAAGAATTTAAAAATTATTGATACCTGTGATTAATTAAATGGTTTATGATAAATGGGTCATTCTACATATAAATACATCATTTATATTAAAATATAAGGGGCGAGGAGTAAAAAATTTATATCGAAGGTACTTTTAAGAAAAAAGATAAAATTTAAAAAGTGATGCCGATTTTGAACTTAAAAGCCTAAAAAAATATATACATATATTGATATATAACAGTAAAAATTAACTAAATAACAAAATTAAACCCTCCTTGTAATGGAGCAAAAAAAAATTTCAAATTTGAAATCGGTGATTTCAAATACATAAGATACAATCCTATTTATAATTTAAAAGTTAAATTTCTTATTGATATCAATTTTGACGTGATAAAACTGCTTTCATCTCACTGTATCACGCCCTCAAACCCCTAGAGAACAGAAAATCTAGCCAAATACTAACCTAATAAAACTCGTTGGACTGAAAGGCAGTGCCCCGACAAAATCAAACTGCCACACGTGCGCGCGGTCTGATAATAGCCTTATATGCAAACTTTAAATTGTTATAACTTCTATTGACCAGCATTTGCATGCTCAGTAATAAGTGTAAAAAAATGAATATAAAAATCTTGTGGGATATAAATTCAATTTATATCATAGTTTCATTGTGACACATGGTAATTTTTTTTTAAAAATTATACTATAGTATATTAAAATAAGGTAAAATTAATGGTAAAAATTAAAAAGTATTCACTATTTCAGTATTATTTGGAAAAATATATTAACTTATTAAACGTAAAGTATTACTTAATACATGCATATATGTATCAATTAAACATTTCAGTGTTAAATCGTTAAAATCGAGCAAGCCAATTGAAATAATTAGATTGTAAGTGTTAATATTAATTGTTAAGAGTTAATAGACTAAATTGATAAATAACTTTCTTATCTATATAAAACATGACACACATTTAATTAAGAACAATAAAACGCTTTGTAAATTAACAAAAGTTTATCTCAATTGCTTCAAAGAAATTCATCTAACCATTACCTATTTAAAATAAAATTAATAAAAAATGTTTTCTTCCGCGAAAAAATTCCAAACATTATATGCAACGATTTACATTGTATATATAAATTGAACGAATAATTCATTCAAGTGTTAATCAAAGTAGTTATTAAATTTGAGTATTTTAAAAGTGAAATAACAAAAATACATTCAAAAACTATTCATATTATTAGGAAAATCTCTCATTTAATCAATCAGGAAATATTTTGGAATACAAATTAATTATTATTTTTTCAGATTTATTTTAAAAATTTCTGTTTTTGAACATCTTCGTTTTAACCGAATTATTTATATAGGATATTAAATACTTAAACATAAAAAAAACCCGAAAATTGTCTTTCACTCATCAAACTATTATGTTTAAAAAACTTGGTGTAGAATAATATTTTAACTATTTTCTGTATAGTTATTAAATTTAAAATAGATGTTAAAATAGAAATTAAACTTATAAAGAATTTTTTTTGTTCTATTTAAATATTTGATTTTAAGAAATTACATAATTCTTATGCAAACTATTAATAGCTCGAGGATCATATCCAAGAACGAAAATATAGATTGAAGAGTAATAACCCTCCTTACAATTTATATGATGACTAAAAAAGTTAATTTAATCCCGTATACGTATGATAGCGCTCCTTGATTTCTAAAATCAATTTTAAACTTAAAAATAGGGCTGGGTCGAAATTACTTTTTTCCGATATCTGATAATTCAATATTAAAATTTTAAAGAATATTCTACTTTTCAGTACAATAATCAACAGAACCACCAGAATGTATCATTAGACGTATTTTAGCCCTTTCAATTCACTATATGCTACTAATAACACGAATAAATAGAATACCGATAAAAACACGATATCTCATTTATCGTATTGTCTATCATCTACTCAATTATTATGATAAAAGAATAATTTAAAAATATATATAATTATAAAATAAAATAATAATAATAATAATAATGATATAATAAAATATATAATTAAATCAATACAAGAATAAAAATAACACTAAATTAAAGTATGAATTTTATTTAGTCTCAAGCTCAATTTTCAAAAATTAACGGGAGCGGTAACATAATTTTTCCATCCTGATGCATTTGATCTATTTATCAATTTGTATGTAATAAAAGGTCATTTATACATAATAAGTGTAAAAGTTTTAACGAATGCTGCTGGGCATAACTTTACCCTTAAAACCACAACTTAAATACGGATTTGTATTCACTGATAAAATTATTATCATATTATCACCCGTTAATATAAAATCAATTACGATGATTAAAATAATAAAAGAATTAAAAATAATAAATACTATAAAGCCCCTCAAAATTATTTCTTAACACCAATAAGAGTTTTAAAAACAAAAATCTTTCATAAGATAGATAATTTACTCAACATTATACACGAATTAGTAAATTCTCTAAATGTTTAACCCTTTAAACAAATATTAAGAAATCCGTCAATAAATAATATTTATGATTTACAAATCAGTTGTACTTACTTAAGAACCAAAACACCCATATTAGTTGCCGACTCCAAGTCGATGTTATCCACTCCAGTACCGGCTCTACCGACAACCTTCAGGCCATACTGTGCTCCAGCCTCCAATACTTCTTTGGTCACTTTTGTTTCGGATCTAACTACCAACCCATCATACGACCCAGTCTGATTGAAAAAAGAAATCGGTTTTTTATAACACCACAATTATTTAAGTTAGAAACATTTTCTTACTTTTAACTCATCTATGAGAGCTTCAGTGGACAATTTGTACATTGATCGTACTTTGATACCGTTGTTTTCTAAGACAGTGGCGCAAGCAGCATCGCAAGCATCGCTGATGAGCACTTTCTTAATGAGCACACGTGGGTTAGCAGACATGATTACTGAACGGTGTACAAGACACAAGTGAAATAAAACACACTCGTGACACTGGTGAGTAGCCCGACTGGTTTTTCAATAATGATTTATAGCAAGTGGTTCGAAAACCACTAGTTAAAATTACTGTAACATTAATAAGTCGCATGCCATTTCGTTTGGAATTTCTTATCTATCAATAAAATATAACGATGTGTACAAAGCACAATCGGCTCCATTTAACCCTATGAAATACTTTGATTTAATTGTATTTTAATCATTTCTACACTTATACTATAGTTTTTTACTTTATAGTTTTTATTTTCACTATTTGAAACACGATGTAACAGGATTTTTTAAACAATTATATATACGATTATAAATAAATAAATATTATATATTCACGAGCCTTACACAAACATAATGACGCTTTTGTGAAGAAATAATAAGATATTTAAAATAATTCGTTACTAAGAATAATTGGGTGAACCTAAAACTATATAACGCATAACTCTAACACATGACATTTAACATACAGCTCAGCCAGATGTTATAACTTATAAGTTTATTTAGGAAGTACGAGATATTGGGAATACCGACCTTACATATTTAACTGAAGAAAATAAATAACAAATACAAAACAGTTGACAAATTTTTATCATCAGTCCTTTAAAATTAAATAAGCAATAAATAACAATTAAACCCCATAAAAAATATTNTAAAATTAAATAAGCAATAAATAATAATTAAACCCCATAAAAAATATTTAACATCTAACATACATTAATTGTAAGTTGATATTACTTAAAAATACATTAACTGGTCGATACAAAATACAGGTAAATAGGCAATAAAGTACTAATTTATTTCAACAAAGTGTTAATGAAAGAATCTATTTTAAATAGTACACGTATATAACTTAAAAGACAACATGTATTAACACTAAGTTGGCGTGCTAAGCGTATTTAAACGTTTAAAAAAATCACAGAAAATTTTAACAACAAAATTTTTCTAATAGAAGGTTTTTTTCTAATTAACTGCTAAAAATTAATTAAAATTATTCTTGTAAAAATTAATAAGAGTAATAAATTAAACAAGACAATATAACAGATTAAAATGAAAGGACTATTTATAAAAAATAAAATTATTTTTAAATTACTTCGAATCACATAGTATAATAATTTTCTAGTAGAATTTTTAAGTAGATTTAATTTTTTTGTTTTTCGTATGTTGTTATTATCACAATCCAATAAAATTTTTAATTTTTTATTCAAGTTTTGATTTTTTGAACGATTCTTCTTGTTGTGCAACTCTTTTTTTATCTTTCCATGGTTCATTATTGCATAACACAGTATTTGTTAAATCACAAAAGCGATTTCTAATCTTTTGCAAAGTTTGTGCGTCGTCAGCAGCTGTTGTTTTTATATCATTTTCGTTCAAATATCCGTTCACGGGAAATTCCACAGAGTTTTGGCCAAGCGACTTGGTTATATCTTCATACCAGAACTGAGATGATGGCGTGGACCTATTTTCTGGCTCAACCATGTCGGGCAACAGTTCCGACATGGTGGAAGTTGTACCATAATCGGTTGACGAGCTGCACGGCGAAGGAGTGGTATCACCGATACCCATAACGAACTTATCGTACTCGGGTACACTGGAGTTATCAAGATCCCAAGACGGAGCTGCAGCGGGCGTTATGTTAATCTTACCATCGACTGACAAGTCCATTAATGTGTAGCTATTATTAACAGATGGTTCCGTCGTATCATTTTTGCCAATTGTAGTAAATAAACTGTTAGGAGAACTTGTTCTGGGAACATTCTCCTTATTGTCCGGAAGCGTTGAGGGTATTTTCTCAAGAGATATTTCTGATGTCTCACATTCTTTTTGGGTTTTATCATCAACATTTTTCTGCATTTGTTTAGTTTTTACTTGCTGGTTTGGAGTACGTTTTTTTGGTGTTGATTTCGGTGTCTTTATGTTTGGTACAGAAGTTGAAGGGGAATTCCGTTGCTTTGTGTGTTGTTGTTGCAAAATATTTCCTTGTAGAGGAAACGACAAGGTTCGGCATTTTTGTAGTGAAGACGAAGGAACATTTCGTTCTCTAAGAGGTTTAGGAGTTACCACAATTTTTTTATTGTCTGGCGGTAAAGGCTGTTTAAAATTGTTCTCGGATGATAAGCTTCTATTCTGAAGTTCTTTAGGTTTCTTCGAACGAATACATTTAACAGGGGTTCGTGATGTAGAAGATAGCAAAGGAGGAGTTTGAGGTACTTTAAACTCCGGTTCAGGCTTAATTATTGCAAAAGATATAGCAGGCAGTTTTTTTAACAAAGATATAACCTCATTACTTTCTTTGTTCTCAATTGGAGTAATAGTAACTTCTTTAGAAAATTTTTTTGATAGTTCTGGTTTAATAATTCTACACGCATCTATACCACTGAAAAATAAAATAAGAATTCGTTACGAAAAAATAAACACTAAATGTTTCAAATGATAAAAAGTAAAATGTTAAAATTGTTTTTGTCAAATAAATAATGATTAGATGATTTTTTTAAATAATGTGTATCTTATATTAATTTTTGAAATTCTTAAATAAAGGATTATGCTTGAAATATTTGTCGCCACGTAGATTTTTTTTTTAATGGAATCCAAAATGTTCAGTGAGTCAGGAAACATGTCAATTGTTACTAACAATGAGAACAATATAAACCCGTTTCCTTACTTACTGAATTTCTGTAAATAACTTTTTATTTTTTGGAACCCCTCAATTATATTTAATTTTGGATTAATTTTTACCTGAGTATTAAATAATATGTATCTATTGTAGCGTTAAAAGGCAAACCTACCTTACTTGGCAACCTTAATAACTAGACGAGTACATTCTGATAAATTGAATATTGGTACAAAATAACTTAAATAATAATAATAACCAATTATGATTGAAATCTGATAGCAATTTTTATCATTTTAGTAGATATAACATATGCACAGGTTGTTTTGTTTTATGTTCAGTCATCAAATACGCGAATGAAAGACAAAATAATTTTTTTGATCATCGACTAAGTTTTCCCTAAAGCGTTGTATTGAATACAAGAATTTTACTGCAATTCATAGTTTGATATTAATTTTAATATTAATTAATATTTTTGATATTAATTATAAAAACAATGAAGAAATTTAATGTTTAGAATAAAAATTATAATAAAAAGTATTATGAATAAAACTTATTAAATGTAAAAAATGAAATTTTCTATTTTCTATTTGAAAAATATCTTGCTGTGGTTCTATATTTATTTAAAGACAATGTACTTGGTTTTTTTATCTAAATTTTATTTTGCTATCTAAATAAAATAAATTATACTAATTTTATTTTATTTACTCATAAGTACAATTTTTTCTTTCAAAGATAATATATTGTAACAAATTTCAAATCTCATCAAGTTATAATCTAATGTATTTTAATAATTATTTAAAATATTTGTACTGTAAATTTTAACATTAACAGGAAAATATCAAGTATGACTAAAATAATTAAAAACATAATGGAAACAGGATTAAAGCCACTAAAAGATGGACTTTTTTTAAAACATTTGTTATTAGATACTTGCGATGATTATTCATTTAAATAATTATAAAAAATAAATCAATAATGCTAAGTTAAATAACGAAGTTATACTTAGTATTCTTACAGTTTATGAAGTAGAAAAGATATTAAGTTGTAGTACATTTCTATACAAATTTCTAACAATAAAAATAAAAATATCTTAATAAAAACAACTAGACCCATTCTTTCATATTCATATTTTTTATTAAACTTTTATGGAAAGGATATTTTTATAAGTAGATTGATTATTGATATTCCGTGGTTTCTCCCATTTAAATATAGTTATATGAAAATGACATCTTTGACTGATAATTTTAAATAGAAAAAAAAATCCACATGGAACTAGGTAGGATGAACATGAAGATTATTGAATTATTAATATTTAACTCCTCACAACATAAATTAAAAATTTGACATTGAAATAAAAAAAATTGTATTCTACAACAATTCTAACAGTGATCCCTTATTGCACATAAAATTTAAAACAACTTTTGTAGTCATGAATATACACACTTTGACGCAATGAAGAGTTAATGCTCTAGTTTTCTTTAACAAATTCATTATACACGTCATCACTTTTTTAAGTAATGCCATAAAAAAATATGTCTCAATAATATAATCGATTTTTAACCAACATAAAGCTTTTATTTATTAAAAGTTGCTTAAATATAAACTTTTATTATTGTGGTTTCAACATCATCATTGTTATTAAAAATGTTATTAATGCAGTCCAATTATTTTTTTTATCACACTTCANTTATTAAAAATGTTATTAATGCAGTCCAATTATTTTTTTTATCACACTTCAAAAAAGGAGGAATATAGACATAAATATTAGATTTTTGCCAAAAAATGTTCAAAAGAAAGACAATTTTTGTTCGAAATATCTAATTTTATTGAATCTTTTATTCAAATAAAGCCTCAAGTCCAAATTTTGAATTTTTTTATAAAAAAAGTACACATATTTTTTTTAAAAGAAGTTTAAATCATTTGTTTATCATCATTAAACTAATTTAATTTGTTAATTAAATAGCTAGTTTATTATTAATTTCCATAATTTTTATTTTTAATATTGGA